CAGGAGTGTGTAGTCACAGACAGGAGTGTGTAGTCACAGACAGGAGTGTGAAGTCACAGGCAAGAATGTGTAGTCACAGGCAGGAGTGTGTAGTTCAGGTCTCTCTTGTAAATGAGTCCCAGAGGCTCAATGGGATTGACCTGTCTAAATAAAGTTTGAATAAATGAAAGTAGTCACAGACATGAGTGTGTAGTCACAGGCAGAAGTTTTTATTCACATGCAGGAGTGTTTAGTGTCCAGAGTGTGTATTGACAGCCGAGAGTGTGCAGTCACAGGCAAGTATGTGTAGTCACAGGCAAGAGTGCATATTCACCGACAGGAGTGTGTAGTCAAAGACATGAGTGTATGTTCACAAGCAGGTGTGTGTAGTGGCAGGAGTGTGTAGTGACAGCTATGAGTGTGTAGTCACACGCAAGAGTGTGTAGTCACAGACAGGAGTGTGTATTCACAGCTAAGAGTGTGTAGTCACAGGCAGGAGTGTGCGTTCAAAGCCAAGAGTGTGCAGTCACAGGCAAGAATGTGTAGTCACAGCCAAGAGTGTGTAGTCACAGGCACGAGTGTGCATTCAAAGCCAAGAGTGTGCAGTCACAGGCAAGAATGTGTAGTCACATGCAAGAGTGTGTAGTCACATGCAAGAGTGTGTAGTCACAGGCAGGAGTGTGCGTTCACAGCCAATAGTGTGTAGTCCCTGACAGGAGTGTGTACTCATAAACAGCAGTGTGTACTCACAGACAGGAGTGTGTAGTCACAAAATAAATTGGTTCTTTACGCAGCGGTAGGGGAAACAGGTCGGGGAGTGGTGGCGCAACGGTTAGAGAAAATGGGCCTGTGATTGCAAAGTCGCAGGTTCAACTCCCGGTACCATCAACATCAAAAATGTGAGTGGAAATGGTGACACACCCACACCTGCCTCCACCCTCACTTGCCTCACTCTGGGCCCCTGAGCAAGGCCCCACCATCTGCTCCCTAAAACAGGTCTCTCCTGAAAATGAGTTTTGTTACTCAATGAGACTACCTGTATGAATAAAGGGTAAATGAAAAAAAAAAAAAACCTGATATATATTTTAATGCTTCCACACTTCAAACTTTTCCCACTCTCTTACAAACACTTCATATGCTCTTAAACTCTTTGGCGATGATGGCGATGATGGTGATGATGGTGATGATGGCGATGATGGCGATGATGATGATGAGTTGAATGTACAGTACTGCACAGCATGTACACCACACAGAATATAAAAACCCGCGATACAGAGAAGCTGCAAGAAGTGAACCATGATGTACTCTGTATTTCTTTATGTCTCTATTGTAGTTGGCTGAATATGTAATTTGAAAAAATGTTGGGTGTTGTACTTTAAGTCTTTAATTCTTCCAGAACAAAAAATCAGAACAAAAACAGTGTTGTGAAACAGATGCCTCATTGATGTGGTATTTAAAATCCTTCTGTGCCCTGGATACTCCTTTTGTCATAGCTCTGTGTTTGTTTGAAACGTTGGGCACCATGAATGCTCAAACATTCAGCCAAGTTTTCATCCAACCAAAAACTTGTGTGTGCTTTTTCTTCCACACGGCTGCGTACGGATGCTTGCTGTGCTATACAGTAAACTCCATCTCCCCACTGCCCCCCCACCTCTTAATGAGGGAGAGAGTTTGGTTAGCAGAATCCTCCAGCTTGGCCCGCCAGGGACAAAATTCCTTGGGTAGGGTGGAAATGATGTCTGCACATGAACCAGTCCTTGGATTCCATTTTTAGTGTTTGACCTCCATGTCGTGTTTTGTTGTAGTGACTTGCATGAGCTGTGCTGTGTCCCGTACCTGCTTGATCTGTTCTTCTGATCCTGTACAAGTTATTTGATTTTCCCTGAGACTGCTTTGCTTCATCTGTTTGTTCATGTGTCTTGTCTACTTAGAACATGTGCTTTTCTATATATGGGTGAGATTTAAATGCTTATGTGGTCTGTGAGTAAATTTACTGCTGTGATATTCTATCATTTTATGTAACTTGAACTAAAATCAGAAAAAGTATATTTCTGAAATTGTGGTTTTGAACATTGTTATAATTTTTTGATAAGATTCTTTTTACAAATGTATCTAGATTTAGGTTTGAAATTTAAAACCAGTATCTCACTGTGCTGCACCTGTTGGAGAATGGTCAATGACTCAAAATTGCAAGAGAATCTGCAAAGTTTTCTAAATGCTTGCAAAGAAGCAATTCAGTTTATTTATAAAGCACCGAATCACAATAAAGTTGTCTCAGGGCACTGAACACGAACATACACATAAATAGAAAAGAGAATCAGACTCGTTGACTCTTCACTTTGTCACAGTCTCCCATCCTGAGCAAGCACAAAGGCAACAGTGGAAAGGAAAAACTCACTTTTAACAGGAAGAAACCTCCAGCAGAACCAGACTCAAGACAAGCGACCGTCTGCTTTGACCAGCTGGTTTGAGAGGACAGAAAGGAGAGACAAACGAGCACAGAATGACAGGACCAGATGTTGGTGCAGATGTGCTCCCTGTTCGAAGAAAAACAAAAAAACATGTTAAGATAGAAATAATTACAAATACAAAACAGGTTGAGCAAAGTAAGTAAAGACAGCAGTATAGTGAAGAAATGTGGTCAGTTTGTCCTCCAGCAGTCTCAGCCTATAGCAGCTTAAGAGATACTGTAGCTCAAGCCAACACTAACTATATGATTTATCAAAAAGGAGAGTCTTAAGCCCAGTCTTAAAACTGGACAATGTGTCAGCCTCACAGCCAGAAACTGAGAGTTGGTTCCACAAGAGAGGAGCCTGCTGAAAGATCTGCCTCCCATTCTATTTTTGGAAACTCTAGGAACCACAGTGTGAGAGCAAAGTGCTCTGTTAGGAAAATATGGAACAATAAAATCTGTAATATAAGATGGAGCTAGGTTGTTGAGAGCTTTGTAGGTTAGAAGTAAGATTTTAAATTCTATTCTGAATTTGACAGGGAGCCAATGGAGAGAAGCTAAAACTGGAGAGATATGATCAGTATAAGCAATCAATGATGTGGTGTTTCTGCAGCCGTATTCTGAAACTCAGGCCTGTCTTTGTGTGTTCAACTAGGCTGTGCCCAATGTCTAATTGCCCACCCCAACTAAACCACCTGACAGACACGAGTTTTATGATTTAATCTACTTAAATACACTTTATAAATGAGGCTAGGCAGAATTTGACCAGTTTGTTGTTGCTGAGCGAAAAGGGAGAAGTGAAAATAACTTATCCATCTGTCAGTTTGTCCGTCCGTGCATGCTATGAGCATGATATCTTGAAAAATAAGTGTGGTACCGACTTCCATTTTGGTGTGTGGCTGCATCTAGATTTAAGAAAGACTTCTTTCGAAAATTGGGTTGCCACGTTAAAATCCAAGATGGATGCCACCATAAATGTAAACATGTGAAGTTGTGAGTGGACAGGAAAATACCTCAAAAACCTCATGTTCTTTCACACAGTGTAACTCATATGTACTTGAATATTTTGCATCAAAAGCATTAAAGTTCGAGGAGATTGAAAAGTGGCACAAACATTTTGAAACCTTTTGGAGACTCCCTTGCAACACTCCCTTGCCAGACAGTTGTCAAAAGTAAAAAAGGTTACTTCAGTCAGTCGTCTCAGCCCATTGAGATACTACCTTAAGCATATCATATGACACATGGGAACTAAATAATCAATAGATTTAAATTTAATTAAATAATAACATTGCCAGTAATAAAAGTGGAAAACAGAATACTATACTCCCAGACCAACTAAGCATCTGAATGTCATAGAAATACTAACAGTTCTGCTTTGATGGCTGTCTTTGTGCTCTCTTGTTCAGTTTTAGAGCATAAAACTTTTAAATCTGTGTTGTAGTCAGTCATTCTGCATCAGGTAAGTATTAAAGTGAAACTCTAAATGTCATATACTCAGTAATGGTGTTGGACTCTGAGATATCCAGGATGTGACAATCTTCAGGGCTTTAATAGAAAAAAGTTGGACTTCTCAGTTCCTTCACAAAGAACAAAGTATAACTTCAAGTAATTTTAGGTATCATACAATGTGGTCCATTTTCACAATATTCTAAGACAGTGCAGTTTTATGGGTTATTTCAGCCATTTTAAAAAAGAGTTCTTTGGGATTTTTATTTTAAACTAAAAACAACACAAAAAATAGTGGAATTTCTGACTTTTTAAAAATTATTATTAGACCTTTATTTATACAGGTTAGTTCCCATTGAGCCTCGAAGACTCATTTACAAGAGAGACCTTTTACATACAACATACAGTGTCTATTAGCATCATGGTTCTGATAATGCCACTGATGTCCTCGGGAGGTGGGGGTGGGGGGTGGGGGCAGTCAGAGCTTCTAGTTACGTATCCTTTAGGAGCAATTTGAGATAATTTGGCCTGTCCAAGGCCAGCAGGGAGGCCAAATTCAGCTAAACAACAATTGTTTGGGCCGTCAGACTCTGTTTTCTGTCTGCCTTTAAGTTCTGCTAGTACACTCAATGGCGAATCCAAACATCCAGAATTAGTGGACATTCCACCCGGTCCGTGCTCAATTAGCTTTCTCCAAGATTGGATCTTTCATGCTGGTGAGTTCCAGGAGCCACAAGTGGCCTACGATTCTTAGAAATCACGTCCAGCTTGTGGTTGAGCTCGTTAAGCAGATGAGTCTGAGAGCTCGAGGCACAAATTAATCCTTCACATAAGGCTGGCAGCTTTACCAAGGCCGAAACTGCTGTCGACGTCTTCCTAATTTGTCAATATCCAAGGTATCCACCGATTCCAAAAAGCAGAAAGCCTGTAATCATAAATCCAATAATGTAAATGTCTTCTACGTCCTCCATGGACACCACAGATAGGCACGTCATCTTCCACTCCCCCCAGGAATCAATGACATACCCAGATGCGTGGGTCCGTTCAGGGCATGAGGGCTCTCCAGCACCCTGTCGTCTGGTGGAAAAATGTTATCAATTGCGTTGAGGGACCAGCTGACCAAATCCATAATAATTTCTGATTCAGAAGACGTGTAAAGAGAGGCTCTGAAGTTGACAGGACAAGAAAGCAAAAATGCAGGAGGGAGGGTAAGAACGACTGTCTTTGTTGAAGGCGAAAGAGATCATTGATTATTATTGATTATTAGTTTGGTTGATTATCTTTTGCTGTAACGATAATTCTTGGCATTCAACCTTAAACAGATGGAAACAGTTTCCCATTATTGGTGCCACATCTGTTATAAAAATGCATTTGTGGGTTTAAGCAGCAGATTTTGGTCTGTGGGTCACATTCATGAAAAAACTTCAACTTGATTTGCCAAATAGCTTCTTGTGCTACTTACTGTTTGATTCGTGTCATTTATTGGATTGGAGGATTGAAGTCTGAAGAAACAAGACAAACCGTCAATTTAACAATTTATACACAAATCAAGTCCCAGACTGGGGAGGAATGGGATTGCCACTGGTTGCTGACAGATGCTGACCGTCTCAATCAGGCACTTGATAGTCAACATCTGTTGTACCAGAGGCACAAACTCTTCTCTGCTGCTCAAACCACAAATCAAATTTGGTCTACTTCAGGAGAACAGACTTTACAATGTAAGATTTATCGCCAACAAGCATGGTTATAACAAACAACCAAAAAATCTTCCAAACACATTTCCTTACTTTCTGTGCTTTATTGAAAGCTCTTTGAATGACCTGGGTTTAGAGAAACATCATTTAATTCTGACAGGACTAGCAGCTAATTCCAACACAATAAAGACCAAACTAAACATTCTGAACATTATTAGATCATTATTCTGATCTACACAATCGACTTCCAAAGACTATTTCATAATGATTGTATAAATACGTTAACCCATTCCTATTGTGTATTCCATTGGTGTTTTGGCACAAATAGAAAGTTCTTTCAGGAAGTGCCTCCTGGGTGCATGAATGTTTCACAGCTGTCTGCTCCTGTAGGTATTTGCTCTTGGAAACATCAGTGGTCCTTGTAAAAACTATGATGAGAACTTGACAATGATGTAAATGGCTGTGAAACAGTATTCACATACATTTATATATTATTTGTTTATTACTGTTCCTCTGAGCCGTACCTCACAGGATGAAATATCCCTTTTATTCAACCACCCAAACCAGTTCAGCTGTTTTCACTTTGATGCTTAATTTCATTTAAAATCATTTTTGAAAGTATCCTAGCTCAGGAAACCATAGAATCTCCTTGAGTCCTTACACTGGCTGTCCGTGTTATTAGTTGATTTTGTCCTGAATGTGAACGGGCTGTCAGTTGAACTTAAGAGACCTCCAACAGAACCCGGCCATGATGAGGATGATGAAACTTCAAACATTATATCCCACCTCCAGCTGTTTTAGTATATTACACCGAACTGGTTTCGTGCACAATTAATTAGAGACAATTTAAAGACTATTTTTTAAACAAATTTTTACAAAGACATCACAATTTACTTATGAATTTAGTTAGTGGACTTGACAGAGAAAGGTAAAAATAATCTGGATTAAGTTCTACATTCTCTTAACCCTTGGAAGATGTTATGGGAAAAATCAGCCACACGTTTATGTTCATTAAAATTTTGTCCATTTATTTATTCATTTTGATGCAATCAATAAACATGATTTTTTTTTCTAACAAAACCAAAAATCATTCAAATTTTTATTTTTATCAATTATTTTAAATGTACTCACAGTAACTTTACTACATGCTCGTGTTCCTAAGGTGAAACATTGTGTAAATTAATATATACACTGTAAATACAGCTTTTAATCCCATATTTATCACATCATTAATAATGCGTTCCTCTCAATAATGTGTTTTTTTTTACTTCTATCCCTGTACTTAATTTTTTTTAAATTATCCCACTAGGTGGTGCTCCGCTTTTATATTTGAGAGCCTCCGTAAAAATTTACTGGAGTAAATATTTCATCCACCCTGGAGGGGCAGATGCCTCATTACTGACTTCAACTCATGTAGTAAAATTGTTTTAGTTTGAACATAAATAGCAAAAATCATAATCATCAAGTTGCTTAAGTAACGTTTAGCAACAACAAAAAAAATCAGTTTTACGCAGGCTGAAGAGTGAGATGTCCAACAGCTCAGACCAGCTCACAACTTGTTAACATCACACAACGCAGGACGTCATTAGCGGACGCACCGTGCTCTGATGCTCGCTCATATATTTGAGTCAGTAAAAGCAAAAAAGAAATTCAAAACTGGTCTTTCTACCATGAGTAGAGTTTGAAAAACATAAATAAATAAATGAATAAATATAAACAAATAAATAAATATTTAAAAACCTTCATGTCCCAACACCAAGAGACAGGATAAGTTTGACTGAAGACCTCTTTTTCTGCTACTGGATCTGAAGGGTCTTCACAAAACGCCGGACTGGAATTTTTAAAGGATTGCCATAAAATCATTTTGGGTGCACTAATGGGGGAAAACACCTGTTTTTTTTTTTGTTTGTTTGTTTTTGTTGACAAAAATAAATAATTTGTTGAATTTACAAAACTGAAATGTGGAGTTTTGTAAACAAAAGGACTCTAAAAAGTTTAAAATTTGTTTTTAAGTCAATTAAATTCTTCTTCTTCTTTTTTTTTTTTCAGGCTGAGATAACCTTAAAAGATTGATTCATTTTTTGTAGAAAATAACATTAGAAATATTTTTAGCAGTTAAATAAGGTGGTTAATTTCCTCCCTAAGGAATACCAACAACCATAAAGTTAAAGAGACTTCCAGGGGTTAAAATAATGTATTTTAATACTTTTACTGACATGTTATCCCCTAATCACACCATGGGTTTACTAAACAGTAATCCTTGCCCTCCACTATCTCTAGCCCCGTGATCGTTGAAATCCCCCACTTTGCCTCCCTCCGAGGAAGGGAGCGGGAGCTGGTGATCCTTAGAAGTGAGACAGGAGAGAGCTGGAAGGAGCATCAGTGTGAGCACACTCCAGAGGAACTCAACCAGATACTTAATGGAACAGACGAGGGTCAGTCTCTGCAACACTAGCCAAACAGAAAGCATCCCTATATGGCACGCCCTGATCTGTAACCCTCTTGGTTTTCTCTACCCAGAACTGGACCCACCTGAGGAGCTGGAGAGGAAACGCATTTGCAGAATAATTACCAGAGACTTCCCACAATACTTTGCTGTGGTGTCACGCATTAAACAGGACAATAATTTCATTGGTCCTGAGGGAGGCATCCTAAGCAGTACTGTTGTGCCTCAAGTACAAGCAGTGTTTCCTGAGGGTGCACTCACCAAGAGGATCAGAGTTGGATTGCAGGTAACTTACAAAAGTACTCTTAAAACCTTGGTCATATGTTAAAATAGACAAGAGACACATAGCACATGTGTCCAACAACATATGACATATGGACCATATCATAATCCTTGCAGGGTTGATGAGAGCTTGATTGACCAATCCACATTTGGTTTATGGATCTGGAAAAGGGTTGCAGCTAGAGTTGCACTCGGGTCCAAATAATCCAAACCGACCCAGCCCCAGCCCACAGCCATCATCTCCAAACCCCATCTGGTCTGACAAATTAACAGTAGTTACAGGTCCGAACTCAGAAAATTTTTTTTTTTAAATTAAGCTTTGACTGCTTATACCGCCGACTATTATTAACGGTTAGCAGATGCGTGCGGCTAAGTAAACGGGGCAGAAGATCAGAGCTGAGGAGCCGTGCATTAAATGCTTCACTGCTTCTGCCTGCATTGGACCCTGCTCTGACATGTTGGCTATTTTGTGATTTCACAGGTTTGGGTCCTTGGCCGCGCACACCCGCTGAGTGCAGCGGCTGAATGAACGTCCATTTGGGCTGATGGATCGCTGGCAGTAGTCCATCTGAAGCTTAACTGAACTTTTTACCTCTTTCCATTGGCCGGTCAGCACGCGATGAAATAGCCGCATGCGGCTGGTGCAGTATAGCAAGCCATGTTTTCATATATTGGATTGTCGGCCGTGCGCATCACTGACGCAATAAAAAAAACAGACACCGACCCAGCCCACACATTAAGCACATTATGGCCTGGCCCAGTCTGAACCCGGGTTGGGTGGGGTTGGGCTACGGGTTAGAAATGACAGCTCTATTTGCAACTATATTTTTCAAGACTTTTTGTGGGTGGGTTCACTGAAAGTAAATCATGGGGTGTTGGGGGACTTGTAAGGACCAGCTAGACCCTTTATAACCAAAGTAAGAGCTTAGTTTGCATTCAAGGCACAAAGTTGACCTTGTTTCAGATGCAGGTTGGACATCTTCAGTGCTGTCCCATGTGTCTCATTCTGTTTTGAGTTGTTTATAGACATGATTTCAAGATGCAGTCAAGTAGAGGAAGGTGCCTGTTTTGAGAATCTGAGAATCCTAACTCTGTTTTATGCAGATGATGAGGTTCTGCTGAGGTTCTGTTGCTTGGAAGTATTTGCCTCAAGTGGAAGAATTCATGACATACATTGTCTGATGCCAGATCAAAAATGTTTAATTCAAAAGACCATCAGTACCTTTCTTTTATCGGACAGTGGGCCCCTTTAATTTTGTAGCTCACAAAATGTAAATCTGTTGTGTTCTGTCTGGACTTGCAGGCTCAGCCAATGAGTGTAGATGTAGTGAGGAAGATCCTTGGTAACAAGGCCACCTTCAGCCCCATTGTCACTCTGGAGCCTCGCAGAAGGAAGTTCCATAAACCCATCACTATGACCATCCCCATCCCGAAGAGCAACACTGATCCAGCCCTCAACGGATTTGGAGGGGATACACCCACGTTACGACTGCTCTGTAGTATAACTGGTGAGAGAACACTCACATTCATAATATTGTGTCTCATCCATAAACCTTGGCTTACATTCAAATATTCATATTTTGTGTTTGTAAATGTTCAGGTGGGACGACGCCTGCTCAGTGGGAGGATATAACTGGAACAACACCGTTAACATTCATCAATGACTGTGTCTCTTTCACCACCAATGTGTCTGCAAGGTTATTAGAAGCTTTTGTTGAAGCACATTTAATACACAGTTGTTGCTGATTTAGCAACTTCAGCAGCAGTTAACACCCACCCTCATACTCCCTGTTTTTCTTATATCCAGGTTCTGGCTTATAGACTGCCGTCAAGTCCAGGAATCCGTCAACTTTTCCACTCAGGTGTACCGGGAGATCATTTGTGTCCCATACATGGCCAAGTTTGTGATTTTTGCCAAGACACATGACCCCATTGAAGCCAGACTGCGTTGTTTCTGCATGACAGATGACAAGATTGATAAAACACTGGAGCAGCAGGAGAACTTCACCGAGGTGGCACGCAGCCGTGATGTAGAGGTGAAAATGGAGGGTGGGGACAAGATGTTAAATAAGTTGATACCATGTTGATCCACTGAATAATGCTGAAAAAACAAATATTTGCCTTTAAGTCTAAACATTCTTGTGGATTACAGTTGTCCCTCACTATATTATGTGTTCACTTATTGCGGCTACACTGTATTGTGGGTTTTTAAAAATATCTATCTAATTCTGCATTGCGGAGTTTTCATTATATCACAGGATTGCATGGTACGCACTGTACTCCACTACCGCTTGCACAAGTAGAGGAGGAAGCCACCTCTCATCTCCTCTGCCCTGTGCACATACTCTTTTGCTCAGTGCCAGCCCAAGCCTTCATGGGGCCCTAAGTGTAATTTGGCTTGGGGCCCTCTATATATGCTAATAATGTGGATTACTGCAATCATTCATTCAACCTTTATTTAGACAGGTTAATCCCATTGAGCCTTGAGGACTCATTTACAAGAGAGACCTGATTTCAACAAAGAATGATGACAACAATGAACAACAGTAACAATAGACAGTTATAAAAAGGAATACAGATAAAAAAATAAATAAAAAAATAAGATGGCAAAAACAGCTAGATTCTAAGGCGAATGTAGAAAACTAAAACCAGGAACATGTCTGCATTGGTCCCTGCCAGGAGTCCAACAGATTCTTAAAGCCACTTAGAGAGGTCAAGGTCGAGAGTTTCTGATCTTTTTGCAAGATATTCCAGGAAGCAGGAGCGGAGTAGGAGAAGGGTCTTTTGCCTAGTTCAGTCCACACTGAGGGAACACTGCAGGTAATAATGTCCTGAGAGCGCACGCTGTAGCTGCACTCATGCAGAGACATGTAGGAGGAGATGTATAAAGGCAGCAGACCGAGAAGTGATTTAAAGATGAAAATGTACCAGTGAAAGTCTCTGCGTGAAGTTAATGATGTCTAGTTAACCAGTGAATACAGGGTGCAGTGGTGGGTACGATAATCACGGCCAGTTATGAATCTTAGCCAGTGATCATCAACAGTCTGATGGTCAGATCATTCACCCATCTAACATAAACTCATGGCAACTCTGACAGCCCTGTTTACATTAACCTATGCATTTAGTGGTACTAAAAGTATAATAAAAAAAAAACATCAGTATGAAATCTAAAAAAGTTAAATCTGGTCCTCTGGACATTCAAGAAAAAACAAAACAAAGCAAATCAACAAAAAATGTAGAAACGTTTCGTCTCTCATCCGAGAGACTTCCTCAGTCTGAGGAGCTGTATTCAGCTCAGTCTCTTAAATAGCACCATCTCAGAGTGGATCAACCAGTTTTGCTGCTGACAACCAAAACCAGCTGATCACA